GCAGCCTTCTTTATCATGACAAGTGTGGGCCTGGCTCTGAAGCAGACGCTGGGTTTCTGTGAGGAATCCCCCTACGTGACCGGCGGTCGCTGCAACAGCTCCGCGGAGTGTCGAGCGGGTGAGTTGCTGATATTTGGACATGGAATCAAGACCGGTAGATGTATCCCCTCCACCGTCCTGACCAACGTCAGTGTCTGTGAAATCTACAGCTGGTGTCCCACCGAGCATCAGAATCCGCTTCCAGCCACGCTGCTGAGAAATGCCCCCAATTTTACTGTTCTCCTCAAGAACAGCATTGAGTTTCCGATGTTCCACGTGAAAAGGCGAAACATTTTCGACTGGATGGATGTCGATTTCCTTGAAAACTGTCTTTACGACCGGGACAATGAGGAAATGAAGTACTGTCCCCGGTTTCGCATTGGCGACATAATCAAATATACTGGAAGCGAAACAGAAGATATTTGGACCCAGGGTGGCATTGTGGCCATCAGGATTGACTGGACTTGTAATCTGGACTATGATGAGGAGGACTGCCTACCAAGTTACTCATTTCACCGACTGGATGACTCAGATAGTGTCTACATGGCTGGCTGGAGTCTCAGGTATGCTGATCACTTCGTGGAGAAGGGAATTCGCAATCGCTATCTGGTTAAAGCCAATGGAATACAGTTTGTAATCACAGTGCATGGTACTGGGGGGCGGTTTGACCTCCTGACCTTTTCAATGAATCTGGGTTCGGGCCTGGCCCTGTTGGGCATAGCTACCCTCCTCTGTGACATGATTGTGCTCAACTTTGTGCGGAAACGGTCCATGTATCGAAAGGCGAAAGTGGATCTGCTGGAGAAGCAGCGACGCAAGCTGAGGGTGGAACAGGTTCGCAGCACTCTAGGCGAACTGTATTCAAAGTCTGGGGAACTAGACGAGAACAGTGCGCCACGCGGCCGTCCAAGACGGCGGGGGGCAGACGGGCGTCGTCCGAGGCCGCGCAGCTACGAAAACT